GTCTCAAGTGTCCAGGGTAGCGTGGGTGCCTTTCAGGACTGACCAGACATGTGGTGGTCATTCTGAAACTCAGAGCAGGGACTGACGTTCATGACTTTAAGTTTGACCAGTATTGAGCCAAACGCAAAGGGCCAGGCCAGAGTAGAAAGCAGTTCTGGGAATGCTGTGAACAGCACAGATTTGGCCCCAGGTTCCAAGGCAAAGTCTCTAGCTGGCTAAGTATTAGACTACTGTCTAGAAGCTAGGATGAGGCGGATGATGGTTAAACTATACTGCACATTTCAACAAGTGTTTACTGAGCAAATTCTATCCATCTTTTAAGGCCCAATTCATACTCCTTTTTTACGAAGCCTTTCCTCTTTACCACAGTGCAATGATATCCCTGCCTTCAATGTCTGAAAAAGCCCTTAGGAACTGTGCATACCATTTATTAAGTAGTCAAGTACAGTTGACCCTTAACCTATTTCTGCAGGAGGTTGCAATTTTTTGAATTTTTGCATGACTGAAAAATCAGACCTTGGCGATGACCTTGGGCAGTAGGATATAAATAATTCCTACATGCGTAGCGTTCCAATAATGGAACACTAGACAGAAATGCAACATATATTTGAACTGCATGGCCACTTATATGTGGATTTTTTTCAATAAACATCACACTGAGTGTGCCTGCCTCTCTGCCTCCCTTTTTACCTCCTCTACCTCTTTTCCTCTACCACTCTTTTTTTTTTTTTTTTTGAGACGGAGTTTTGCTCTTGTTACCCAGGCTGGAGTGCAATGGCACGATCTCGGCTCACCGCAACCTCCGCCTCCTGGGTTCAGGCAATTCTCCTGCCTCAGCCTCCTGAGTAGCTGGGATTACAGGCATGCGCCACCATGCCCAGCTAATTTTTTGTAGTTTTAGTAGAGACGGGGTTTCACCATGTTGACCAGGATGGTCTCGATCTCTTGACCTCGTGATCCACCCGCCTTGGCCTCCCAAAGTGCTGGGATTACAGGCGTGAGCCACCGCGCCCGGGCCCTCCTCTACCACTCTTGAGAGAGCAAGGCCAGCCCTTTCTCTTCCTCCTCAGCCTACTCAAAGTGAAGGTGAGGATGAAGACCTTTATGATGATCCAATTCCACTTAATGAATAGTAAACATATTTATCTTCCTTATGATTTTCTTAATAATTTATTTTCTCTAGCTTACTTTATTGTAAAAATACAGTATATAATACGTATAACATGCAAAATATGTGTTAATCGAATGTTTATGTCTTTGGTAAGGCTTCTGGTCAACAGTAGGCTATTAGTAGTTAAATTATGGAGAGCCGACGTTATATAATGATTTTTGACTGCATGGGGTGGGGTGGGGTTGGCGTCCTTAAACCCCTGCATTGTTCAAGGCTCAACTATAGTGTTTTTTCTTTTCTTTTTTTTTTTTTTTTTGAGGTGGAATTTCCTTCTTGTTGCCCAGGCTGGGTAACAATGGTGCCCAGGCAATGGTGCCATCTCGGCTCACTGTAACCTCCACCTCTCAGGTTCAAGCAATTCTTCTGCCTCAGCCTCCCAAGTAGCTGGGATTACAGGTTCCCACCACCATGCCCAGCTAATTTTTATAGTTTTAGTAGAGATGGGGTTTCACCTTGTTGGCCAGGCTGGTCTCGAACTCCTGACCTCAGGTAATCCACCTGCCTTCGCCTCCCAAAATGTTGAGATTACAGGTGCGAGCCACTACGCGTGCTGAGAGTTTTTTTTTTTTTTAAACTTTTTTTGACTATGTTACAGGAAGGGAATTTGGGGGAGATTTGAAAGCAAAAGTGTGGATGGACCTGATGTTTTCAGGAAAGTGAAAATGGAGTGGACAGTTAGTCAGATCAAGGTGAATTATTTAAGATTACTCAGGATTATCTTAAAACTCCTCATGGTTCTCAATACTGGAACTTCCAACTACTATCTATGTGACTTTATGCAAAATTCACTTCTTTGAATCTCAGCTTCTTCACCTATAAAATGTGGATGACAACACTTTTCTAGAGGTATTACAAAGATCAGAGGAGAACGTGTGTCAATGTATTGTATCTGTAAAACTTTATATTAAAGTAAGTTAGTTATTATTATCATTATGATTATTTAATGGTAAATTCTACCAGTAAGGGATTTTTTTTTTTTGAGACACGGTCTTACTCTGTCACCTAGGATGGAGTTCAGTGGCATTACCTTGGCTCACTGCAACCTCAAACTCCCCGGCTCAAGCAATCCTCCTGCCTCAGTGTCCTAAGTAGCCAGGACTACAGGTGTGCCCCACCATGCCTGGGTAATGTTTTTGAATTTTTTTAAAAAATGGAGTTTCACCATGTAACCCAGGCTGGGAATTGTTTAAACGCTAGAATAAAACCAATGTATTGTAGGTAATGGCATATTTTCCAAAAATTCTTGATGTTAAATTGTTGGCTAATTTTCGATGGTTTTGAGAAGCTGCCATTTAGGTAGATGAGGGTTAGGGTTAGAGATAGATTTAGAAATCCATAAAGACCCTGCCTTGTTTGAGTTTATAACCTGTCATTCAGATCAGTGTTGAAAATAACCAACAGGAGATATTATTAAATTAATTAGAATTTTCAGCCTTTGGTCACACAGACGTCAGGAATATTTGTTTACACATCTCTGTTGACCATGGAATGTATCTGGAGGATGCATAGTGGGTAGAATTTAAGATCCTCAGCCATGGGAATCTAGGATTTCCAGTTCAAAGGGTCTAAAAAATAGTTCCTCACTCTGTGGGCCTTGGGATACAGAAAAAGTTGTTCTCACCGTCTGAGGTTTCTGTATGGACAAGTAGATTGTGGCTGAGCTCTCTTCCTTCTGAGAAGCCGGGGTCTTTCCCTGCAACAGACCAACAGCAGATGAGCCCTAATGACTACTTGAGAGCTTTTCAGTTTTACCCTCACCCCCCAGCTTCCCGTCTCACACAGAGAGTGGGAGCTGCCTTAGTGCAGTGGAGACAGTGCCTCTGGTTCCAGCACCTTCCTTATTACTGGCCCAAGAATGAGAGTGGAGAGACAAATCCCTCGTTCCACATGATCCCAAAGTTTGGTAAACACGAACACAACCATGAGTCCCTGCCCATCTGCCCCTAGTCCTATTTCCAAGCCCCACCCCCCAGTTTGGAGGAACTAGTCATCATGATCTCGGATGCCCCTAGACACGGGAGGAGAATGACAGTGTGTTGATCAGAAGGGCGCACCTGTAAGTTGAAGGACACTTGTGCATACACTGTGTTCTCTCCAGCCACAGACTCAACTTCTGTGGCACATGGAATGACGAGATCAGAGTCTGCTTCGGCCTCTGGGGCTGAGTCGTGTCCGGCACCCTCCTGGGGGACCTCGTCATACACCCTGTCTCTCCCATTGATGGGCATGTGCATCTCAGGCCTGTCGTCATCCTCCTCAGTTGCTGTGGTGTTGCTGTCAGAGCTGCTGTCTGAGGTGGGCGTAGGCTGTTGCCTGGCAGGCCCGGGGGGAGGGTCCAACTTCTCATATTCTTGGGGAAGCATGCAGTATAGCGTGTGGCCAGCTGTGGGTTCTGGAACGCATGGTACAGCGTTGATAAAAGTGTGCCAACCCCACCTCTCTCTTGCTTTGCTGCAAGGCCCCAGCCTGCTTGCTGCCTGCATTAGATGAGGCCTAGAGAACTGAGGGAGATTGTTTTTTCCTATCTTCCCTTGGGGCCGGGGGGGTGGTTTCCATTCCACCCTTCCTTCCTCCTTCCTTTCAAGCATTCATTTATTCATTCATTTGATAAATATTATATAAGACATGTGACAGACTTAGCAACTCTTTGGCCGTATGGGTTAAACCATGCCAAGCATCATGACAGGTAATCTGGGGAAACACAAAGATAAGCTAGACCTGGTCCTGGAGGAGCACCCTGTCTAGCTGGGGAGTCGGGTGCAGGCGTAAACCAATAATGTAAGGCCAGCTTTGCCAAGCGTCCCATGAGACAGATGAGGAAAGTGCAGAGCTGAGGGGAGATGACTGTGGTTAGGGAAGCAGAGAGGAACCCAGGAAGGCAGCAGGATTGAGGCGGGCCTTGAATAAGGATTCAATATTTTGATGAGTGGGAGGGTATTCTTGGTGAAGGGAGCAGCATGATTAGAGGCAGGTGTACAACCTGGAGCAATCTCCTTTTTGGAAAGTATGATATGAAAAATATGTAACAACTGCAATGGCAAGGGCTTAGGCAATCAGCGTGGACACCTGCGGTGAACACTGGTGTGGTGGATGCGCTGTGAGGGCTGGCGTGGAACGCTGAATGGATATGCTGTGAGGGCTGGCGTGGTACATGGGGTGAATGTCAACCCTGCCTGTGGGGTACATCAAGCAGCCCATTTTGATATAGGAGTTAAGAAGAAATTACTTAGGTAGATAGTAAGGGTCTGGGAGTCCTCTTCTAGCTCTGGCGATCATCTCTAAGGGTCTGTCTTGATATTTGTTTCTATGTCACCTTCCTTTTCAAACTTTAGTGGGCATTGGATCACTTATGGATCTGGTTAAAATATAGATTTGGAATCAGTATTCTGGGGTGGTGCCCAAGATTCTGTTTTTTTTTTTTTTTTTTTTTTGAGACAGAGTCTTGCCCTGTCACCAGGCTGTAGTACAGTGGCGTCATGATCTTGGCTCACTGCAACCTCCACCTCCCAGGTTAAACCAATTCTCATGCCTCAGCTTCCCGAGTAGCTGGGATTACAGGCATGCGCCACCACTCCCAGCTAATTTTTTCTACTTTTAGTAAAGACGGGGTTTCACTTTATTGGCCAGGCTGGTCTTGAACTCCTGGCCTCAAGTAATCCACCTGCCTCAGCCTCCCAAAGTGCTGGGGTTACAGATGTAAGCTATGGCGCCTGGTCAGATTTTGCATTTCTAACAAGTTTCCTGGGTAGTGCCCACATTGCTGGCCAGCAGACCACGCTTTGAGCAGCAAGACTTTAGAGCTTCCATTTGGACTAGGGACCCCAAAGCCTGTGTCATGGGTAACGTTACCTGGTGTGTCATCTGGGTCCTTAGGTTGGCTGGAACAGAAGGCTGGGACTGAATATGAGAAATCATAGAGAAGGTTTATCAAGAGGGCTGTGAGGCAAGAGGCGTCTTTCATTCTGTTAGAGTCAAATGAGAAGGGGAGAGACTTTGGGGGCCATAGAGAGGGAAAAGGCTTCAGGAAGGAGGTTGAACCCCGATGTGAAGCCAAGCCTGTGGAAGGGGTGGCCAGAGTCTAGGGACACTTCCTGCTGAATTGCAGGCTCCGGAGCTTCCCTCCCAACCCTCCGAAGGGAAGAGCTCCTCTGCCGTAGCCACTGGTCGAAGCGGTTTGCCTGCGATTCAGCAGTTCTTCCAGGGACCCCATGTGTTCTAGCCCTTCTGCTCTTTTTGGCAACTAACTACTTCATTTCCACTCCAATGCTGGGATTCTAGAGGAGCTACCAATCATGAAAGCGCATCGTCTTGGCTATAGAAATTGGTCCAAGCAGCAGCCACGTGACCTTAACTTTGGGCCAATCAGAGCTATGTCTGGTGTTCTTTACATTGGAGCTAGAGGGAAGCACATTTTCTCCCCTGTCTGGTGTCAGGGCTGTTAGTATGTGTGGGTCTGGAGCCGCCAGCTGCTGTGTTGTGGTACTTTCCTCCCCTCGCTCCCACCCCTCCTCTCAGCTGGCTGCAGTTGGAGAGTTAAGCTGACTCAAAATACACAGTAGAGATGTAAGGTGGAGAGCTCTGGTGACATTTGAGCGTCTGGTGACGTTTCTCCATTATGCCATCTCTGTCCCTGCCTTCCCCACAGACTGATTATTTAAGTGACAAAATTACAAATGCTCTCCTTGCTCCCATATGCCTTTTTTTTTTCTCTGTTCTAAGCTAGTTTGAGTTGGGTTTCAATTATTTGTAAGAGTCCCAACTGAAACCCCTTCCCCATTGCTCTGGGAAGAAATAAGGGAGGGGTAGCATGGGATTGTGAAAGGGCAGAGAACCCTCCACAGGTCCCAGGTAAATGGCCTAGCGTTAGGGGACAACATTGATCTCGGAAACCCACACCGTCTTTTTTGTTTCCAAATGCACCACCAGCTGAAGATCCCAAGGCACAGAAGGCAAACCATCAGGGGCAACCCAATCCAAAGCTTCATGTTTCTCTTAGGCCCTTTAAAGAGGAAATGAGGGATATTAACACACATAATGACAAGACACACTGGAGCAAACCATGGACAGAACATGATGGCCATCCCACCCGCCCCTTAAAATCCATGACATTGCGGAAAGTATTTCTTTTCATTCATTCATTCCACAACCATTTTTCGAGCAAGCATTATTCTAGGCAAGAGGTTATAGCAGTACCTGAGGCAGACAGTCCCTGGGTAGGGAGATTTATGGCTTGCCCAGTGCCACAGAGTTTCGAGTGTCTGACCTGAGGTTTGAGTACAGATCCTACAGCGCCCTTAATGGCCATGTTACACCACCCCTCTGTAAATGATATGAGGGGAGTTCCAGATTCCTGGAACTCTGGCTCTAAGATCTGGGCTCTAGATCTGTCTGCCAGATACAATCTGACCCAACATTGTCAGATACTGGGTAGACCATACCTTTTTCTGCTTCCTTCTGTGGAAGAGCAGAATATAGAGCTCAGGGTTCTATCCAGCCTTTACTGTGTGACCTTCCACAAGTCCCTTACCTTTTCTGAGCCCCAGTTTCTTTATTCACATAATGGGGAAAAATGAGAATATGTACTCCGTAGGATTGTTGCGAAGACAATGTAAAAATGCATGAAGGCCTAGAATAGTGCTTGGCATTTAGCAAGAGCCACTGGGCTTTTTTCCTAGTTCCCACACACACAGCCTTTGTTCCTGTGTGGTCCACATTCCTTTCCATATCAACTTCCTATCAGCTTTTCTCCACAAGCCTCTAACTATTCAATATGGTAGCCACAAGCTATGCATGAGCCCTTGAAATGTGGCTGGTATTACTGAGACACCAAATTGTTTCTTTAATTTAGTTTCAGTTTTAATTTAAAAATGGTGACTCAATTCCCTCTCGAAAAACTGGTGAGTATGCTTGAAATAACTTGGGTGCATGAGTCTATTTTTTCAACTGTAAATTTTACAAAATCTGAAGATAGATTAAACACTTTCATTGAAAATTTAGCCTCTGAATCAAAACGTGCTGTAAGTGTAAAATACATACTGGTCCTCAAAGACTTAATACGAAATAAAATGTAGTGTCTAATGAATATTTTTTGTATTGAATAAACATTGAAATAATGGTATTTGGATACTTTTGGTTAAATAAAACATATTTTTCTTTTTTTTTTTTGAGATGGAGTCTCGCTCTGTCACCTAGGCTGGAGTACAGTGGCATGATCTCGGCTCACTGCAACCTCCACCTCCCAGGTTCAAGTGATTCTCCTGCCTCTACTTCCTGAGTAGCTGGGATTACAGGCATGTGCCAGCATGTCCAGCTAATTTTTGTATTTTTAGTAGAGATGGGGTTTGCCATGTGGGCCAGGCTGGTCACGAACTCCTGACCTCAGGTGATCTACCTGCCTCGGTCTCCCAAAGTGCTAGGATTACAGGCATGAGCAATTGCGCCTGGCCCCAATAAAACATATGATTACGATAACTTTATGTATTTCTTCTTGCTTTTTCTAACATGGCTATTACAACATTAAAATCACATGCATGGCTCATATTTCCATGGATACATCCCACTCTAAAGGGCTCTCACACATAGCCTCTCACTGCACTTCATAAAGAATCAATCAGAATGTAAACTCTTGGATCTGAGGCCCCAAGGCCCTGTGGCCCGAGTAAACAGAGATGGAGAGAAACCTGGACAGATGTTCTCAGAAGGAAACTGATGGGAAGTGTTGCTGACAGGGTTGCTGGCTATGCATGTGAGGTTGGGGTGATTTTCACCACTTCTCCATGAGACGTCGAGGTGTGATTTCCCTTGCGACACCACAGCTTCCTTCTGCGGTGGGGTCCATGTGTACACCACGGTGTTTCCCCCGTCCTCCACGGAGCAGGTCAGGCTGACCCTGCAGATGCCGTCTTCGGTGTGCCTGATGCTCCACGTGATTTTGGGTTTCCTCAGCTTCCCTGTGAGTAAACAGGCAGACTCCCTGTGGACTCAGGCCTGCCCCCGGGGCAGTCACCCATCTTCATTCATTGAAAACGTATTCATGAAGCTGAGTGTTGACACTGCCAGCAGAGTGCCTCCAGGAGCCACAGGAATTTTGGTGTACACCTGGCACTTTCCTCACTACTTGTGACATCTCAGACACAGCTCTTCACCTCTTGATGCTCAGGTGAGAAATTAGGGAACTAATGAAAAGTGAAGAGAGAGAGGTGCTAACTCATTCTATACAGCGTAGTTACAGCTGTGAAAGCATCAAACCAACCAGCACAGGTGAGACACTTCCAAGTGCTGTGAAGACCCTTCAAGGCTTACCTTTGAGGCTGATTTATTTATTTATCTGAGATAAGGGATGCAGAGACGTGAGCGCTGACACCTCTCTTACCTAACACAGAATAAATGCTCAATAAGTATTAGCAACTTTAAAAGAAACGATAAGACTGACTCTATTTGTTTCCTGTTTATTCTTATTTTTACTTTATATTTGAGTCACTGTGGGCAATAGGCATGGACTTGGCTGACTTGCTGCATATTTTAACAAAACCATGATGGTGACTCTTCACAGATACCTGGACCCTGACAAACTCAGGCAGGGGGCAGGCTGACCATGTCTGAATGGCACAGGTGAAGGACATAAACCGTGCAAGTGCCAAGCCAAGCTCCTGTGAGGCCCAGGGCTGAGAAGTAGAATGCAACTTCTCTTCCTCATGCTCAGGGGAGCTGAGCGGTCTACCTTCTCAGAGGCCACAGCATCTTTGGACACCAGGCCTCAGTTTTCTCTGATTGCACCCCAGACAGCTCTAGCCTTATTGAAAATGATAATATCCTATAAAAGTGCAGGTTGGGGCCAGGCTTTGTGGCTCACTCCTGTAATCCCAGCAGTTTGGGAGGCTGAGGCGGGTGGATCACCTGAGGTCAGGAGTTTGAGACCTGCCTGGCCAACATGGCAAAACCCCGTCTCTATTAATAAAGTACAAAAATTAGCCAGATGTGGTGGTTCATGCTTGTAATCCCAGCTACTCAGGAGGCTGAGGCAGGAAAATCCCTTCAACCCAGGAGTCAGAGGTTATAGTGAGCCAAGATCACGCCACTTCACTCCAGCTTGGGTGACAGAATGTGACTCTCTCAAAAAAAAGAAAGAAAGAAAGAAAGAAAGAAAGAAAAGAATATGCAGGTTAGTGAGTTCCTAGTCCTTTCATTCCCAGGCTGGAGTGAAGTGGCATGACCTTGGCTCACTGCAACCTCCACCCCTCGGGGTTCAGGATTCTCCTGCCTCAGCCTCCTGAGGAGCTAGGATTACAGGCGTCCACCACCACGCCCAGCTAATTTTTGTATTTTTAGTAAAGACAGGGTTTCACCATGTTGGCCAGGCTGACCTCAAATTCCTGACCTCCAAGTATTGGGATTACAGGCATGAGTCACCACGCTCGGCCTCCTAATCCCTTCTGAGACTCAATGCAGAAGGACCTGGGCAAGTACCTAAATTTGGGTGGCAGAGGTCTGACTGGTAGCATACTACCAAGGGCACTTTGGCAGGTAGACTTGCCCAGCAGCTAGTCATGAGTTTTCCTCCTGTGCATCAACTGATGTGAACTGAACAGGGTGGTCTGAGGCATTTCAGTATGAGGGAAGACCTGGGAGAACGGGGAGGGGGAGAAGGCAGCAGAGGAGAAAGCTTTCAGGGAAGGAATCTAATGAGGGGTGCCCTGCCCAGACACTCACGGTAGATGCGCAGGGTGACATGTGTCATGCTGGTGACTCTGGAGGCCTCTGAGCACACATAGGCATGGTAGGGGCCGGCGTCCTCTATCATCAGCCGGTCAATCTTCAGGGAGCAGTCCTGGTTGGAGACCCACACCCTGTTCTTGGAATGATCTCTGGATTTAATGAGTGGATCTGCTGTTGCTGCTTCTTCCCTCTCTTTGCTGATGATGGACGTGTTAAACATCCAGACAACCTTCTCTGTGTCCCGACAGGTGACTGGGAGTGCCAGTGGCAGGGTGACTGCCTCTCCCAGGACCCCTACCACAGTATCCCCCATTGTTTCTCCTCTGGAAGCTCCTGGATCTGTGGTCAGAGATGAGACATTGCAGCTCAGTCAGTTCCTTAATCCCTTGGCCCTCAGGCAGCCTAAAGGGGACCGAGGGGACTGGGGTCCCTCCTCCTCCACCCCTTCCCCCTAGCCTTATCCTCTGAGGGGCATGTCTGCTACTTTGCCATGACCACCTGTTCCACCTGGCTCTGCCCACTGAATACCTGGACTCTTGTGCCCCTTTCTGCCCTCTGAAGGTGCCTGGAAACACCTCCACCCAAGCAAAGACCAATCTGGACTCCTTTATCCATACTGTCTTCTCCCTTGCTCTACCCTTAGAGTCTCACAGTGTTCTGGGCTTTCCCCAGTCCTGCCAGCCCCTCTCAGCTCCCTGAGATAGCGAATAAGGAGTCTTTGGGCCTGTCCTCTTGCTTCCCCACCCACTCTGTGTCTGACCAGAACTCTGGAGTTTAGACTCCACAGCTGCTCACATTGTTTCTGGAATTCCCTCAAGGGCCAAACTGGAGTCAGTTACCTGTACAGAACTGCCCAGCATGGACAGGGCGGGAGCTGCTCTGGCTGATGGGGTTCTTAGCTGTGCAGGTGTATGGCAGGTCTGGGTCACAGGGCATTCGGGAGATGGTGAGAATGGAGCTTCCATTGGACTCAGAAGCATGGGAGTCCCTTGGGGTCCAGCTGTACAGAACACTTTTCTCTGCCCCCTTCACGGAGCACATGAGAGTGATGTTACAGGAGAAGTTCTCAGATACCTTCACAGACTTCAAGGTGACTTGGGGCTCCTGCAGCTGCTCTGCAGGAACAACAGCATGGGAAGATGCTCAGATCCCTTTGCCAGCAGGAAAGAGCCAAGAGAAGAAGGTGGTGCTAATAGGGGAGCTGGGGGCAGCAGAGAGAGGCCAGCGTTACCTGCTGTAGGCACATCTTCTCTGCAGGCGGGGTTGAGCCTCTACTCCGTGCTCCCATAACATCCTCTACTGCTCTTATCACCATGACTCAGCATGACTAATAGTCTGATTACTTCTCTCTTTCCCCGACTGGTATAAGAACTCCTTGAAGACAGGGCTGATTCCTGTGTCAGAACATCTAATACCTAGCCTGGCTTATGAAAAACACTCATGAATGTCCAATAAATAAATAGGTGAGGTGAATGGCCCAGCTCTAAACACTATATAGAGTGGAGAATTCTGCCTCTAGAATCTGAGTCTGAATTTAGGGTGCATTGTGCTTCTAGATCTTCTTCCTTGTCTTCTCCTTTCCTTTTGTTCCATCTCCACTGTTCACCATGTGTGTGTGCATGTGTGAATGTTTCATGAAGTTATATTTCTTTTTTTTCTTTTTTTGAGACAGAGTCTCACTCTGTCACCCAGGCTGTAGTAAAGTGGTGTGATCACTCCTCCTACCAGGTTCAAATGCAACCTCCTCCTACTGGGTTCAAGTGATTCTCCTGCCTCAGCCTCCTGAGTAGCTGGGACTACAGGCACATGCCACCACACTCAGCTAATTTTTGTATTTTTAGTAGAGATGGGGTTTCACCATGTTGGCCAGGCTGGTCTCGAACTCCTGGCCTCAGGTGATCTGTCGTCTTGGCCTCCCAAAGTGCTGGGATTACAGGCATGAGCCACTGAGCCTGGCCCAGTATTTCTTCTTTTGAATATGTAGTACATTAAAAATTGAGAAAATACAAAAGGTATGTAATGAAAAACTAAGCTTTCTTTCCTCCAGCCATCTATTTCATCTCTTCAAGAATTACTATTTCTGGAGGCAATTACTGCTATAAGTTTCTCATTGATCTTTCCAGAGATATTCTAGATACAGACAGATATATGCTTACTTTACACACTGTTTTGAACCTTAAAAAATTAACAATCTATCTTGGAAATTATTGTATGTCAACACATGTTGTGTTGATTCATTCTAATTCTATTAACTGCATAGAATTCCATTTCCTTAATAGATACAGAATACCCTACCAATCAATGAAAACGATCAAACTATCTGATAGAAAGATGGTGTTATGGGCTGAACTGTGTCCCTGCAAAGTTTAGATGTTGGAGTCTTAGCCTCCAGCACCTCAGAATGTGACTGTATTTGAAAATAGAGCTGTATTTGGACATAGAGGTAATTAAGTTAAACTGGGATCATTAGCGTGGGCCCTTATCTGATATGAGTGGTATTCTTATAAGAAGGGGAGATTAGAGAATAGACATCACAGACAGACGGACACCCATGTGAGGCTGTAGAAAGAAGGTGGCATCTGAAAGCCGAGGAGAGAGGCCTCAGAATAAATCAAGCCTGCTGACACATTCATTGGCCTCTAGAGTTGTGTTCCAGAGAAATGAGCAATACATTTGTCGTTTAAGCTAGGTAGTCTGCAGTATTTTGTTATGGCAGCCCTAGCAAACCAATACAGGTTTTGATACCAGAAGTGGGATGAAGCTCTAACAATGTAAAAATGTGAAGTGGCTTTGGAACGTGCTAATGGGTAGAGGTTGGAAGAATTTTGAGGTGTGTGCTAGAAAAAGCCTAGATTGTCTTCAAGAGACTCTGGGTAGAAATATGGGTGTTAACGAGAATTCCGGTGAGCACTCAGAAAGAAATAGGAGCACTGCAGGGAAAGCTGCTGTTACATTAGAGATATACATAGGTCATCATGAGCAGGATTCTGGAAAAAATATAAACATTAAATGTATTGCTGGTGAGGTCTCAGACAGAAATTAGAAATATGTTACTGGAAACTGGAGGAAAGAGGCAAAGAACTTGGCCACATTGTATTCTAGTGTTTTGTGGAAAGTAGAACATTTAAGTGACAAATTTGAGTACTTAGCTGTGGAGATTTCTAGTCAAAGTGTTGTACCCGAGCGAGTCAAGGAACGCGCCACACTCTGAGAATGAATTATGAGTCTTTATTAAGCTGGTGACCGAGAGTGGCTAATGCCCAAAATTCTCTCGGCCCTGAAGAAAAAGTTAGGTGGCCTTTTATACACTAGTTTTAACAGGAAGGGGGGAACCTAGCTGAAACAAAGTTTTCACAAAGGCAGAGTAAGCAAAAAGTTAGAAGAAAAGACTGATACATAGGAAATAAAACAGTGCCAGGTGTGAGGAGTCCAGCTGTCATGAAAGACATACAACCTATAGATAAGGCGGGCTCTGGGCACTCACTGCAGCTGCATTTCCAGGCTCTGCTGATACCACTTACTCGGCCTCTTATCAACAAAGGCGTTCCTGGGTGCCTTGTGTCAGCCTGACCTTGCTTTATACTATAGTCACATACTTAACAGGGAGAAGGTTACTAAAATGCAGAAGCCAAGATGGAGTCTGGTCAGCTCAAAAAGGCTAACATAAAGCCTGAACAGCTTTTCGTCAGGGAAAAGGAGAGTCAGTGTCAGCTGGCAAAAAGCAGGGTATCACAAAAGAGTTGAAGGCACTGCCTGGTTTCTCCTTGCTACTTATATAAGATGTGAGATGGATTTGGCTGGGCGTGGTGGCTCACACCTGTAATCCAAGCACTCTGGAGGCCAAGGCGGGCGGATCACCTGAGGTCGGGAGTCCAAGACCAGCCTGACCAACAAGGTGAAACCCTGTCTTAAAAAAAAAAAAAAAGATGTGAGACGGATATGAATTTTGGGAGGCCAGTGGGTAGAATGTTAGGCTGAATTCTGTCCCCCACAAAATTCATGCATAGAGGCTCTAATCCCCAGTACCTCAGAATGTGACTGTATTTGGAGACAGTGTCCCTAAAGAGGTAATTAAGTTAAAATGGAATTGTTAGGGTGAACCCTCATACAATATGACTGATGTGCTTATAAGAAGAGGAGATTAGGACATACACAGACAAGGGAATGACTGTGTGAGAGCACAGTGAAAACGTGGCCAATTACAAGCCGAGAAGAGACGTCCCAGGGAAAACCAAACCTAACAAGACCTGAGTTAGTCTCCAGAATTGCAAGAAATAAATTTCTGTTGTTTAAGCCATCTGTTCTGTGGTATTTTGTTACAGCACCCGATCACACTAATATAGGTGAGTAAAGAATATTAATGGAGAGTTACGGAAAAGAGAATACAGAGGCTATTAAATACATGAAAAGATGGCTAGACACGGTGGCTCATGCCTATAATCCTACCACTTTGGGACGCTGAGGGGGGAAAAATGTGCCAGGAGTTTGAAACCAGCCTGATCAACAAAGTGAGAACCAGTCTCTGCAAAATAAAATGATAATAATAAATGAAAATTTAGAATTTTAAAGCCAGGCATGGTGGCACATGCCTGTAGTCCCAGCTACTTGGGAGGTTGAGGGAAGGGTATAGCCTGAGTCCAGGAGTTTGAGACTAGCCTGACAACAAAATGAGACTCTCTCTCCGAAATACTGGTAATAATAATAATAATAAATTCAGAATTTAAAAGCTGGGCATGGTAGCAAGTACTTGTAGTCCCAGATACTTGGGAGATCGAGGCAGGAGGATCACTTGAGCCCAGGAATTGGAGACCAGACTGGGTGATGTAGTGGGATGATGTCTCAAAAACAGTAAAATGCATATACCATTTGATTCAGTAACTTGACCCCATGTATATATATTCTAGATTTATTCATCAGAATACAAACTACTTACGTAAGTGTGAAAAGATAGGTGCATAAGAATATTCATTGCAGCATTGTTTATAAGAGAAAATACTGGAAACAATATTTCTATAAGCAGAAACAATATTTCTACAAGTAGGAGACCAGTTACATGAATTATGGCAATTGTGTAACATGTAAGGAGTTTATGGGCGTGTCTTCCAATCTTGACATCTGTGTATATGGAATTAGGTGAAAAATGACCAATGTAGTGGTCAGATTTCTCCTAGAGAGATAAATTCCTGGAGAAAAAGAATGTCTGGTTATAAAAATAAAAGATCAAGAGAAGGGGTTTCAAAATGGCTTACGAGAAGCATTTAATGCCTACCTCCTCTACTTGGAAGAACTAAAATAGTATACAAACAGTCAAAACATTTTAAATACATTTTACAAGGGAGAATGCTGGAATTCAACAGAGAGGTGACAGGAAACACTAAAAACAGGGAAGGAGAAGGAACAGAGGCAGCCTCCCTAGCTGGGATCTGCTGGGAGCTGGGTGTGATTTCCCAATAGAGGTGAGTGAGAGACTTCCTGTGGCCCACATCCCATTGCAGAATCATGCAATCCTGGCCTCAGGAGACCCCTTTAACCCTCTCAAGGCCTAACCCCTTTGACCCTCCAAGCTGCCTACCATAGGGAGCTGCTGGGAGACTGTGGGGCAGAACTGCTCCAGGGAGGGAGCTCCTACTGGGTTCCACACTCTTTCTGAGACCTATGCAGTTATAGTAAGGGGCCATTTTCAAACTTAGCCTTTGGCAGACTGCATGCTGTCCTGGGGCCCAACAGTGTCTGGTCTGAAGTGTTAGGGAAACTAAAACTGTTGCTGCTGAGACTAGAGTATGATCTGGGAGCACTCTGCAGGTTCAGCTAAGTAGCAAGAGAGGTGTGGGCTGCAGTTTCTGGTGCCAGGAAGCGAATGCTGCTGTGACTGAGACTGGGTAAAGTAGTGGGCTGTGAGTTGCTGCTGCAACTTGGTCACAACCTGGTCAAAAGCTCCTGCAGCTAGGGCTGGTTTAGGGGAAGCCCTCCTGGGACCAAGGCTGAGAGGGATGCATATTCCCCATCTGCCATTCCAGGCTATGGCCACTGAACCTGGCCTCACCCTCTCCAGCGGCAGAGCCTCACTGTGTCTGCTCCTGTTCTCACGTGAGCACTCTGCCGGGGGCCTGAGGATCGCCCTGCTCCCACATACCATAGCTGGTGTCTGCTTTCACCATTGGGGGCTTGAGTACAAGCCCACTCAGCCTGGCTTCAGGCTCCCCTCTTGCAAAGAGAACACATAGGCCAGCAGCTTGGGGATTGCCCAACCCAATCCACCACCTTGGGCACCTGAGCACTTTTCTCTAGGGGACTAGGGTGGGCCTAACTCCCAGCCACTACCACCTACCTGCAAGGGCCACCTGTGGTCCTGGAAACTAGCCTGTCCCGGCCACTGCAGCCACCATCAACATCAATGCACACTGCTTGGGACCCAGAGAATCATCCTGCTGCTGTCATTGCCCATGCCACACTAGCTACACAGGGGCCTGAGAACCTGCTCACCCCCCCAGCTCACTGCTGCCATTATCAGTATCTGAGCAAGCCACCTGCAGACCTAAAAATCGGCCTGCTGAGAAGCATGAACACCGCATACACTGCCTTGAGGCACAAAGATAGGTATGCTGCGACCACTGTGGTGTGATGACCCGCCACTTGACGTTTCAATCCCTGTAGGAAGACATGGTCAGGGGCGGACCTGTGTTACTTACAGTTAAATGATTCG